TTGGAACTTCCAGAAAAGAAACTTTGTCTAGAAGAAAATCCACCAGAAAAATGAGAGAAGGAACCTCCATTATAACTACCATTATGGGAGGAAGTATGAGGAAAATGACCAGAATTGGAACCCCCAAATCTCGAGTGAGAATGGGGTTTACCACCAGCCATGGCTAGATTAGCAGACGTAAGCCCACTAGCCAAATTTGAGCCATCACTTAGCTTAACAGCCTTCTCAATTCGGACTTCTTGAGCCAGAATTAGGGATTCAATCTCCGCAACCGAATATTCACCAAATCCATAATTCACACTTATTTCTAAAATATCATACTCAGGAGGTAAGCCATTGAAAATTGCATCAATGTGATCCTTAGGAGGAATCACATGCCCAACTAGAGCAAGCATATCAACAAAATAACAAATCCGAAGCAAATATTCATTCACAGTTAAAGAATCTTTTCGAACATTTTGCAATTGAGTTTTGAACTGAGATTTCTTGGCACGAATCTGAGAAGCAAAATATACCTCAATCGTGTGCCAGACCTGCGCCGCAGTTTCACAGTTGACCATTCGAGCAAGAACCAAATCTGTCATGGAAGCCAACATCCAAGAGACGAGCAGCTGATCTTGCTGCTCCCACTCAAGAAACTCAGGATTTACCACGCGAAGAAGTTCATCCTCTGGAGAAAGAAACCTCGGAGGAAATCTCGCAGAATTTGAAAGAAATTCTTGAAGTCGACAACCTCGAACAGTAGCAAGAACTTGTCGCCGCCAAACAAGAAAATTGTTATTATCCAATTTGGAGGAAATCAAATGTGAAAAAGTAATTGGAGTAGAACGAGAGAAAGAAGAAGAAGAATTTGTTGGCACAGCTGTAGAAGCGTCTCCCATGGCGGTCATCGGAAAAGAACTCCTTCACCGTCAAGAATAGCTTTGATACCATATAAGAAAAGCGTACACAGAAAGAATTTGGGAGAAATCAATGATATGTATTGATATTGCTACAGTAACATTTATATATAAGTTACAACAAAAAGCTTATGTAGTAAGCTAACAAACTAACATTCTAACTAATAGTGGCCTAACAATAAGCTTGATAACTAACTAACTAACAGTAAGCTTGCTTAACAAGCTTAATTCTAAGACTCCTTAACTAGAACCTAGTCAAATTTCAAAAAATAAATAGGTTCAATAAAATGGACAAATTTTCCTTGTTGAAAAAAAATTAGAATAATTGTAAAAAAAAATTCCAGAATAGAATTAGAACTCTGTAATCCGCACTAGGATTTATGCACAGACAAAAGATTTATGCAATTCTTTTGAAAGGGTAAAACTTGACATGACTGGCAAGAAACCGCAAAATGAATAGTCGCATTAGGAAAGTTAAAAACTAGCTAGAGTACCATATTCAGAAAGTAACGAATACAATTACCTGCGAGAGCTTGACATCCTTTATATCTATGTGGACAATTACACGCGTATTTGCTGGCAAATTAGAACTAAATTCTCATTTAAACTCAACGCTACATCTCTTTTAAGACATACATAAATAAACCTCCATATACACGAACAATCCTTTAAAACACGAAAAGACTAAATTCTACTACAAAAGTGAATCATTTGTTCATTTTTCCGCAAAGCCCCTTTTCTTTTTTTTTTTTTTTTTTTTTTGCCAACTGCAAATCTACCTCTGTGGAGAAATCTATTGCAAAACCCTCAATTCTTTCCGGAGTTTTGTTGTTGACCTTAAACAAAAAAGAAACACAATAACTAACAAGAAAGAAAAAAAATTTAAACATTGAATCTAAAATGCATAATAAGAAGTTACAAAAAATCTCATTAGTCTTTATCATACAAAAAAGCTTGGTAGCCATGTTTTTCCAGCTCAGGAGCACAAAAGTTCCAAGAAAGGTTGTGGCTGTCATAACATGTAAAAGCCCAACGCTAAGATTTATATGCTTAAATCATCTTTTTGTCCTCTAAAGTGCGATTGAAATGTTTAAATAAGCTACTAAATCATCCTTTAATTTCAAACTACCTCATATATGTATAATTTATTTTGCCTTTTTCCTATCTAAACTTATTCCACGTTTCTGCATTTCAGTTTTTTTTCTTACCCCTGATTGATTCTAAGGTCATTTCAATCAGTAAACAAAAGCAGTGTACAAACTGTGATCACCGGTGCTAACTGAAAAGAATAATCATCCATATAAAAGTTTAACAATGCTTTGGGAAATGTTTCAAGAAGTAAGAAGACCTCTCTATCTTATTCATTGGAAAAAAAATTGATCATTATTTCCAACACCCTACAGATTGTAGGACACCTGGCTTCATGTCAGATTAGTAAAGGTATCCATCCTAAGTAAAGCAAAATCTAAAGTGGGATCAAATTTCTTAGATCAAGCGCAAATGTATTTAAGGGAAAGAAGTTGACTATTTATGATTAGCTTACCAATCACGTGCACAAAATCTAGCATTTAAGAACTCGGCCTTCCAAGGTTCTCATGGCAATGTGATTCAGTAATTTCGGAGTGTGGCACGCACGAAGAAGCTGATAATGAATAGGTCATAAACAAATTAAATATATTTGGCAAAAACAGTGAACCGGTCCAACTTCAAGTAAATTTCAATGTGTTTACACCACATCTATACGAGCTCCCAAACTAAAAGATAAACCTTAAAAAAGCATACTACTGACCAGTACGATATGCAAGATCATATTACTTTGACTGGGGGCATCCTTTGAACAAAAAAAAAAAAAAAAAAAAAAGCCATCACTTAGTAAAAGATCATATTACTCAAAAATACTAGATAACTAATTCACTTACATGTATCTAAAATATAAAATAATACAAAGAGATGAGCAATAATGCAGAAGGATGAAAGAATTTATGGAGTGGAATAAAAAGATTTTTGGGGACACAAATTATTAAAAACAAAAATTTGGGGAAAATTGAATGGCTGCACAACAAGGAGGCAGGTAATTTGGATGAAAATGATAGGGTGGAAAGGAGATTCTTAAGAAATAAATTGGAGGAAACAACTTTTAAGGCATCAGTGGCTTGGAAACAAAAGATGAAGTGCGGATGGAGTAAGGAATGGGATGGGAACACTAAGTTATTTCAAAAGTTGGTTAGCAACAAAAGAAACAAGAGTGCCATCATAAGATTCGAAAAGGATGATAATGTAGCGCTGGAGGACAGATTGGAGATTGAGTGAGAGATCATAGCATTTTATGAAAATTTGTTTGAGGAGGAGAAGGATAGTTCGTGGAGTTTTGAAGTGATCGAGTGGAGTGCAATTTCAGAGGGCAAGACACGTTGGCTTGAGAGGACTCCTGGTGAGGATAACATAAAACTTGTTTTTAGTTTTGACAGAGACTGATCATCCGGCCCAAATGGCATCTAAAATAGCAAGCAAAACAATTTTACAAAAAAAAATGACTCGGAAGGCTTCTTATCCCTCTATTTGTATTATTTCAGATTTCCAATAAACTTGAGTGGATTAGTAATCATGACGTTTTAAAGAATGGTTCCTATGATGGCATCCTCCCCTAAAACTCTACTACCCTGTCATATAATTCAACAAAAATCTACTAATAAAACATGTGACTAAAAAAGTTCAAGCACTTATCAAAAGACTCAAGTTGTCTCCATTCTTTTAAAGAGTTCATAATAGGCTCAGGTTGGATTTAGTAACAATCCACATATCTGACTTGTGAGTAGCAAATCACATTAATAGCTGCCACCTAGAGGAAGATAGTTAAACACTTAACACTCACATATTCTTTAGATGTTCCGTTTGGTTCCCTTTATTTGCCAATTTCTTGAGAAAAAACAAGTAATTCTTCCAGAAATAGCAAGATAAAACATAAAGGCCGCAAAACTTGAAAAACTTACGGGAGATGCAAGACCAAATTTTTTATCAGTTATGTACATCATCAAACCAACATTCTTTATCCGCCTACTGTCTGACCAGTAACAAGAAGAGAAAATACATTAGAAATTATGACAAAGCAGGTGGATTGGAACCTAGTTCAAGATGCCTTATTCTATTTCATCTACCAAATTCTCTCCATTTTCTTTCCTTTTGCTTTCTTTTTTCAATTTCCCCCCTCACACTCACTTTTTTCATTCTTTCTTTGATTTTTTTCCCACTCTTTTTGTATCTCTGTTTTTTTTTTCTTGTATCAACAATAACAATAACAAGCCTTAATCCCAACTTAATTGAGGTCGGCTATATAGATTTCACTTTTCCACGCAGCTCTGTTCGAAATTAGACTTTCCTGAAGGCCTAGATCTAAGAATGTCCTCACAAGCACGAACTGGTGTTTCTAGCGGTTTACGTTGGACATGCCCGTACCACCTCAAGCGGCCTTCGCGCACCTTATCTTCTATTGGTGCTATACCTACTTTACTACGAATAACTTCATTCCTTATGCGATCCATTCTCGTATGGCCACTCATCCATCTTAACATACGCATTTCTGCCACACTCATCTTAGATATATGTTGTCTCTTAATGGCCCAACATTCACTACCATATAACATAGTTGGGCGGATTGTAGTCCTATAGAACTTTCTTTTCAACTTAATAGGCATCTTGTCATCACATAAAACTACCGTAGCATTCTTCCACTTAACCCACTCTGCCTTAATCCTATGTTGAATATCTTTTTCTATATCTCCTTTGTACTGGACTATAGACCCAAGGTATCTAAACTTCCTAGAAGCCCCAATCTCCATACCATCTAAAGAAATTTCATCACTCTGATTACTTGAGTTACTAAACCTACAATGCAAGTGCTCAGTTTTCATCATACTTAACTTAAATCCCTTCGTCTCAAGAGTCTGTCTCCACAGTTCTAACTTACGGTTAATTTCTTCCCTATGTTCATCAACTAAAACTACATCGTCCGCAAAAAGCATACACCAAGGAACTCTATCTTGGATTTCTCTTGTTAGCTCATCCCACCACGATGGTAAAAAGATAAGGATTAAGAGCAGATCCTTAATGAAGGCCGATCCGAATGGAGAACTCTGCCGTGTAGCCTCCAGCAGTTCTCACACTCGTGACCACCCCATCGTACATGTCCTTAATTACCTTAATATACTTCACATGCACTCCTCTTTTTTCTAACACCCACCATAAAACTTCCATCGCTACCCTATCATATGCCTTTTCTAAATCTATAAAAACCATATGTAGGTCCGTTTAAGATTCTCTGTACCTTTCCATCAGCATCTTAAGAAGAAAAATGGCTTTCGTGGATGATCTGCCTGGCATGAAGCCAAATTAGTTACCTGAGATGGTACTTGTGGCCCTTAATTTCCTTTCAATAACCCTCTCCCAAAGTTTCATAGTGTGGCTTATTAACTTTATGCCCCTATAATTGATACAATTCAGCACATCTCTTTTATTCTTGAAGATGGGGACAAGAATACTTTTCCTCCATGCATCAGGCATATGCTTCTTCTTTAGTATCTCATTAAAAAGCTTAGTGAGCCACACAATTCTAACATCTCCTAACGTCATCCAAATCTCTATTGGAATATCATCTAGCACATATGCCTTCCCCTTTTTCATTTTCCGTAATGCAGTTTTAACTTCTGAGACTCTGATTCCTCTTGTATACATCACATTAGGTTCTCCTTGTGACCTAAGATCGTCAAACTCTATCACATGATCATCATTATAAAGCTTCTCAAAGTAACTCCTCCACCTTTCCCTAATGTCTTTATCTTTTGTCAGAACTTGATCCCTATCATCCTTAACACACCTCACTTAATTTAGGTCCCGAGACTTCCTTTCTTGTATGCTCACAAAAAAAAAAAAAAAAGGTTAATACAATTGCCACTCTAAAATAATAAGATCTCAGCAACTATGGAAGCTACAGCCCGACCAACATTTGTTCTTCTCACCCCTTTTTACTCTTCCCTCCAGCCCCCTCTCTCTCCCTTTTCTTTTCTTTTTCTCTTTTCTTTTCATTTTTTATGTATCTCTTTGTCTCTCTCTTTTTATTCCATTTGATTCTTACTATTTATATTTTATTTTTATTTTTCCCTTTTTTTCTCTTTTATTTTTCCTGTCTCTCTTAATTTTCTTCTTATTCTTTGTTCTTGCTTAGACATAGACAACAAATAATAATTGCTAGAAGAGTTACAAACACTTACAGGAGGAGAAAGATCATCAATATCCAATTTAACGTAACCGACATGACTTCCTCTTTCC